AAGAAATGTGCTCATTATCCTACCCATGTAATTGCAACCCCTCTGTACAGTATTTTCACAATAAAAAAAGAAGTATATGATAATGTTGATTTATAAATGCTTTTGCATGTTTTATCTCAATCATTGTTACTAAATAATTTCTTTAAAATATCTTTTACTGTCCTATTAATATCTAATAGATTAATCTGAATTAATGAATCAATCATTATATACTGAGAAATATGGACACTGGCACTGAGAAAAGTTTCTGCTCATCATTAATCCCCAAAACATAACTAACTCATCAGTTATAGATTACTTAAAAATTCATTGGCTTATTTTTATAAAATTATTAAGAACATTTAAAATTACCTTTGAGGCTCAGTGCTGGTGGCTCACACTTGTAACCCTAGCTAGTCAGGAGTCTGAGATCTAAGAATCATGATTCAAAAGTGTCAAAGTGGTAGAGTGCTAGTCTTAAGCAAAAAGAATTCAGGAATAGCACCCAGACCCTGAGTTCAAGCTCCACGGCCAACCAAAAAAAGAAAAAAAATCAACTTTGAAATAACAAAATTAGAGTACAATTAAGCTAATTATTATTTTTTGAGAAAAAGAAAAATAAGTACAAACTTCTGTGAGAAATGGGCAGAGAGCATAGAAGATTTCTTCCCTTTCTAACGAAGTTAACCATCTCAAAATTCTTTCTCATAAACTGAAGATCATTATTTGGCAAACTATCATAATCAGCGAACTACTTAAATTTCATTTTCATTGCCTGGTAAAATTAGAATAAAAACAATGAAATTAATATTTTCTAAGAAAAAAACATTAATATTGTTTGATTAGCCATAAGATCCGCAGGTGAAGTTTACTAGTTCTTATGTTAAATAAAATGCATTTCTCTGAAAACTGATGGAGAAATTTATAAAAACTAGTCTCAAATATCAAGATTTAAACTTAATTTTCTTAAAGAATATGTTATAAAACTTTATGACTATGAAATATGGTATATTCACACATTCATTAAGGAAATCAGAGTTTTTGTTATAAACAAATATATTCTATAATGCACATTCATCTAAGAAAGGACAATATGCTCATAAAATGACTTGGAATAGCATTCTGTGGGTCACAATTTGGGTAGAAATTTTAAAGTATATCTACCATGAATACTAATATATTTATATTTGCAAACAGATATAACCAGATGCTGGTAGATTAAGCCTGCAGTCCTGAGATGTGAGGGCTGTGGTCCAAAGTCAGCTGAGGCAGGAAAGTTTGTGTGTTAGCTATCTCTAGATTTTGCTGAATAAGGCCTAAGAATTAGTCTCTAGAATACAATCAAGTATAATGTTAAATATACTTCACAGGGTGAATTATGTTATAGCTATTAGAATAAAATCCTTATTATTGGAAGAAAAAGTTAATTTGTTTCTCCATCCTCTTATTTTTCTCTTTATATGTTCTAAATTTGCTATAATGAGTACAGAGAGGGGCAAAATGAATGAGTTGTATATTGGATAACTCTGTAAGATATTCTTCCCCTGCTCCAAGTTTTTCCATCTAAAGATCAGTTTAAAAATCTTATTTTCAGGGCTGGGAAGGTGGCTCAGTGGTAGAGTGCTTGTCTGGCATGCATGAGGCCCTGGGTTCCATTCCTCAGCACCACATAAGCAGAAAAAGCCAGAAGTAGTGCTATGGCTCAAGTGGTAAAGTGCTAGCCTTGAGCTGAAGAGCTAAGGGACAGTGTCCAGGCCCAGAGTTTGGGCCCCACAACCAACCAAAAAAAAAAAATCCTATTTTCATTGCTTCAATTTTCCAAGTAATTCTTTAATCATTTGAAATTAATTGTGTATATTATGAATGTTTAAATTTACTGTTTTCTCAAATAGCCCACCAATTAATATCTGTTGAAATACATAGAGTCATAAAGTATGATACCACAAGCCTGCAACCCTAGAAGTTAGAGGCTGGGGTTGGAAGACTGAGGGTTTAAAGCCAGTGTGTGCTATATATATATATATATATATATATATATACACAATATTATATATAATATATATTATATAATATATATATATATATATATATAGCGAGATACCGCTTACTATAAAATGTATATATTCCATGAATTTTGTAGTATTTCATTACAGGATACTAATTTCATATGCACTGGGATCTGCCTAAGGCCTATCTTTTTTTAATCCCCACATAGCTCTTATTCTTAGCTGGGCACTGATGGCTCATGCCTGTAATCCTAGCTACTAAGGAAGCTGAGATCTGAAGATCACAGTTCAAAGCCAGCCCGGGCAGGAAAGTCCCTGAGCCTCCTATCTCCAATAAACTGCTCAGAAAACCAGAAGTGGCACTGTGGCTCAAGTGGTAGAGTGCTTGCCTTGAGCTGAAGAGCTCGGGGACAGTGCCCAGGCCCAGAGTTCAAGCCTCATGACCGACAAAACCAGAAAAAAATAGCTCTTATTCTTGAACCAAGAATATCATTTTCAATATCATATATTTTGGTACTTAGTCTTTGGAGATATAGTCAAATGTGTCAACTTAGTGCTTGACATTGAGTAAATCTCTTAGCCTCATCTGTAAAATAGTACTGTTAAAGAGCAAATAGTGCTCTTATAAGACCCAAGACAAAAGTCTATGAAATAAATAAAATGGATTAAAGTGTTATGAACATAATACATCTTTAATTTATCTGAAATTCTAACATCTATTTCCCTTATCTCTGAGTTTTTGCAAATTGTCTTTTTTCTTTCCTGAGTCTCAAATCTTCATTTGTAAATTGTTCACTCAATCTTTTAAGACTTACTTCAGTTGTCCAATCTGTATTCGTTATGTATTTCACTGGAGAATACTCAGCATATAGTAATCTGGAATGTTTCTTTTTTTTTTTTTAGGTCCGGTTGTGGGGCCTGAACTGTGGGCCTGGGGGCTGTCCCTCAGCTCTTCAGCTCAAGGCTAGTGCTCTACCACTTGAGCCACAGTGCCACTTCCAGCTTTTTTGTTTTTGCTTATGGGGTGCTGAGGAATCGAACCCAGGGCCTCAGGCATGCAAGGCAAGCGCTCTGCCACTGAGCCACCTTCCCAGCCCCAGTAATCTGGAATGTTTCTGTACTTAAAGGTTTGCTTTATGACCTAAATTTTATATCTGATGAGAAGAAATATTTTTTATGCCTTCAACGTCTCATCATCTTCCCTCACTAGCAGCACATACCCCTTTCATTGAAGCAATTAATTTGCTGATATACCAAATATCTTCATTAAGAATTACATGAATTATCACCAGTTAAGAATTAAGTATACATATTAAATAACTTTTAAATATGTTAAGGAAAACAAATAACACTTGTTATATATTTTGTAAGCTATAAAAATCAACATCAGGGCTGGGAAGGTGGCTTAGTGGTAGAGTGCTTGCCTTGCATGCATGAGACCCTGGGTTCCATTCCTCAGCACCACATAAGCAGAAAAAAAAAGCCGGAAGTGGCTGTGGCTCAAGTGGTAGAGTGCTAGCCTTGAGCTGAAGAGCTAAGGGACAGCACCCAGGCCCAGAGTTCAGGCCCTGTAACCGGACCCAAAAAAAAAAAAAAAATCAACATCAAATCTTCATATATCACTGACTACTTAAATAATATGGGATCATACTGCCTAGATGAATAATTTGAAGACATGTTATCAAAAATTTTATGCCAAAATTTGCTTGTAATTACTGACAGTGTTACTGTATCTTGGAAAAGGTAACAGAGTCAAAATTTTTAAAGTTGCACAATTTACTTTGGATGGTGTGTGTCCCTAAATTCCTCCTCTTCAGGATTCCAAATAATGTGTCATAGTACATTTGGTATGAAGTAATTCACACCAAATGAGAATTAACAATCTATTTTGAACTGATGATATGATCCAAAAATAAAAAACACATTTTTTAAAAAGGACATAACTAAACTCATGCCAAAAATAAAAACAACCTTACTAATGACCTAGAAAGGAACATTCTGAGGGGATTTTATTCTTTTTCATATTCTACCTCACTGCTTGTGCTCATTCTGGAACAAATGCAAAGGGACTTTTGTTTCCAGTAACTTCGCAGTATTAAAAAAAAAAAAAAAAAAAAAGGATCCTGCCAGGCGCTGGTGGCTCACGCGTGAAATCTTAGCTACTCAGAGGGCTGAGATCTGAAGCTTGCAGTTCAAAGCCAGCCTGGGCAGGAAAGTCCGTGAAACTCATCTCCAATAAACCACCAGAAAACCGGAAGTGGCGCTGTAGTTCTAGTGGTAGAGCACTAGCCTTGAGCTGAAGAGCTGAGGGGCTGCGCCCAGGCCCCGAGTTCAAGCCCCGCAATCAAAAAAAAAACAAAAAACAAAAAAAGGATCCTTATGCCATGGCTCACCCCTGTAATACTAGCTACTCAGGGAGCTGAGATCTGAGGATTGAGGTTCAAAGCCAGCCCACGCAGGAAAGTCCATGAGACTCTATCACCAGAAAACTGAAAGTGGCACTGTGGATCAAGTGGTAGAGTGCTAGTCTTGAGCAAAAAAAGCTCACAGCAGCACCCAGGCCCCGAGTTCAAGTCCCACAACTGACCAAAGAAAAAAGTAGTCTTACAATTTTAGTTAGTACCTAGTACATAAGAATACAATGACCAGAGTTCCCACAACTTCTATGCATTTGAGAATCCTTTAAAAGTCATATGGAGTAGATATTAAACATTTTTAATCTGACTGTAAAAACTAAATTAATTATATTTTGGTCCACTTAAAATGACAAATGGGAAAATATCTGAGCAAAAAGAAAAAAAAATTTAAAACGGTGATTCAAAGTAGGAGTGTTAGCTACTTTACCTTATTGCTTTACTTCTCCACAATATTAAACACAAAAACCTAGGTGCCGTATGCGTTTTTAAAAGAAGCCCATAAAACTCAGATTTGCAGTTTTAACAAAAGCCAAGTGTGGTATAAGGTTTCCTAAATACTATCCCTATGATTATCCTTTGGATAGAAAAGATTTTGTACCTGAAGATTGATCTCTGCCTCATAGAAGGTTAGGCACGAACAGTAATGTCGATCTGAGTCAATATCTGTTAAGACCACCACAAAGAATGTTGGCTGTTTCCTCTCTTTGGACAGCTGCCATCCACCAGGCTGACAAAACTAAATGGAAAAGAAAACAGTTGTTACATTTTAAAAGTAAGATAAAAGTTATTATTTCTTAATAAATGCTTCTCTATATTTAAAACTGAGCTCATATGGTATGCCACATCAACCAACATTGAAAACAAATTCATGTACAGATTTATAATGTAAAAATTTTTTACCAATCAAGATGTTCCATAGACGCCAATCTTTGACATTTCTTTTTTTTTTTTGGGTCCAGTCATGGGGCCTGAACTCTGGGCCTGGGCGCTGTCCCTCAGTTCTTCAGCTCAAGGCTAGCGCTCTACCACTTGAGCCACAAAGACACTTCCGGCTTTTTTTTCTTTTTGCTTATGTGGTGCTAAGGAATCGAACCCAGGGCCTCAGGCATGCAAGGCAAGCGCTCTACCACTGAGCCACCTTCCCAGCCCCAATCTTTGACATTTCTGAGACCTTACATTGTCATATATAGGGACAACAATACTTTAAAGTACTTTAATCCTATTATGAGAATAAATAGGATATAATGTAAACAATATGTATCATTGATTTAAAAAAAATTATTCTAGAAACTTTCTCAACAATCTCAGGAAGCTTTGATTCATTACAATGAAAAAGACATTTTATTCATCAACAGAGAATACGTTCTGGATGATAAAGCATATTTTAATAACTTTCAAAGAATAAAGGTCATATAATGTTTGCACTCAGATCATAATGGAATTAAACTTGAAATCAGTAACCCAGAGCTCAAAATTACAAATACTTAAAGGTTAAACAATATACCTCTAAATGACATATGAGTGAAAAACAAAAATTCAAGAGAAACATTTTTTTAAACCAACAAAATGAAAATGAAATCTGTCAAAATTATGGAAAGCAGTTGACTAATGACGTTAAATACTTTTTGAATATTGGCTATTCTACTGGATATCTAATTTTATAATCCCTATTAAAGTTTCTCATCAAGTTTCAAAAAATAAAGTCCTTTTTTTTGGTCAACCATGGGGCTTCAACTTGGGCTTGGGCGCTGTCCCTGTGCTCTTCAGCTCAAGGCAAGTTCTCTGCCTCTTGAGCCACAGTGCCACTTCTGGTTTTCTAGTGGTTTATTGGAGATAAAGTCTCACAGACTTTTCTGCCTGGGCTAGGTCAGCCTCCTGAGTAGCTAGGATTACAGGCGTGAGCCACATTTTTAAAATGTTTTTTTTTAAAAAAGGTATCTTGATAAACAGCATTGCTCAGTATGGATATAAAAGAAACAGGAATGGGTTTGCCAATATATCAACCCTCTGTGCCAGATTGCCTTCCTTTTTATCACTCTGCTTAATAATTAGTTATTTACCCTATCAAGATTTGTTTCCTTATCTATCTAAAGAGAAAACTAACATCTATCTGATAAGTACACAAGAATGTTTGCATTTAGAATAGCCCCTGGCACATCGTTTAGTGGATATAAACAGTATTTATGATTATTAACTACTCTTTTGACATGTTTTCCCCTTCTTATATAGACCTTTTCCAAAATCTGTCCTTCCATGCTTTTGTCTATAGACATTAGAATGGTAAGATTTAAATGATTCTACCTGGAGCATGAAAAAGTTTACCATATGAATTTAAGTAGAAGCCATAAAGAATATTGAAAAGAACCACAAGAAAGGCTAAAATGAAATTTTTATTACAATTTTATTTTTAATCATTCACTTAACAAATATTTACTGAGCACTTAAATATCTTTGTTTTTCTACCAAATGGTCTTTGAAAGTTCCCCATTATTCTAGTTACTCCAAATCAAACAATTGCTAGCTCCTCTCCTGTGTTCTAAAACCATTCTTAATAGCTTTTGAGGGCCCAGGCCCAGAATTCAGACCCCACAACCAACAACAACAGCAAAAAAAAGTTTGGGGGGGGGCAGGGAGGAGATGGGAAGGGATGGGAAGGGGAAACAAAGGAGGAGGCAACAATGCTTGATAAGAAATGTACTCATTACCTTGCCCATGTAATTGTAATCCCTCTGTACAGTATTTTCACAATAAAAAATTAAAAAAGAAAAAAAGAAAAGAAATTACTATTTGTTGAGTACTAGCACAGTATTGAAAGAAATACCCTTAACTCTCTACAATGCTACCAAATACTCTTTGCTTATGTTTTATCTTCCATAAGCTAAATATTTATATTTACAAAATATGAAACAGTACCTGTTTTCTCTCAATGTATGAAAATACATTTCATAAAAACACAGTACTTGTGTTAGTATCTAATGATTTTTATTTATTTTTATTGAAAGGTGACACACAGAGGGAACACAGTTGCATAAGTAAGGAAATGAGTATAATTTTTGTCAAACATTGTTACCCTCTCCCCCATTTTCTCCTGCTATCCCTTCCTCCTGGCCCAGACTCCCCTCCTGACCAAGCTGTAAAGTTCATTTCCAACATACTGTCTTATGAGTATCACAGTTGCATTGGTTCACCCTTTGTCCTTTATCTCACCATTTCGTTATTCCCCTGCACCTCCCCAAATCAGGTAAATATAAGTACAAGACACAGGGTACCAAAATCAAAGCAGTGACAACAGGGGATAAGCCAAAGAGGAAAAAAATGAAAGAGAAAAGAAATTACTTCAAACAGCACGCTAAGGGGGAGGACCCTCCTGTTTCCATTTTGATTAACATCATTTTATAAGGTCATATGTACATATCT